GAGACTCCCTTTTTACTTTGTAGCCACCCTTTAATGTGGAACATGGTGATGAGGTCTCCCCTAAACCTTCTTTCCTCAAGGCTGAACCACGCCAGTTCTCTCAGCCTTTCCTCATATGGCAGGCTTCCCAGTCCTTCCATCATCTTTGTGACCCTTCTCTGGACCCTCTCCAGCCCATCCACAACTTTTTTGTACAGCAGGGACCACAACTGAACACAGTATTCCAGGTGTGGCCTGACAAGCGCTGATCAGAGCTTCCTTCTCATGCAGAACCGTGCTGGCTGCAAAAAAAACCCTACACGCTTTCTGGATAGCCAGAATCAGTCATATAGGTTGATCAGTTAAGCTACAGAAAAACTCATTGATGCATTTCACGTACCTCCAGATCACAGGTACCTGTTCCTACAGACCCTTTCTTTTTAGGCTGACGGGACTGACTACACGTGCTAGTTGACAGTGGCCACGTACAGTAGTTCTTCATTTTCATCCATGCCAACGTTGTCAGGAAAACAAAGCGTTTGGAACAGAAAAACATTGACTTTGTGGACATAGGTGAAATCCATGCTGCCTACGGCCCATCCTCCTTACTGCTAACGTCCTGCTGCCCCCCGCCCCCTTCATTTGCAGACACACTGAAAAAATCTGAATTTGACTAACAATCATTTGGCACAGCAACCTTGGATTAGTTTATGTCTGCGGCATATCTTGGTTATCTTTGGTTAAAACACCTACCCGAACTTTGAGAAAACAAAGTTTTTATTACCACAGCAGTGAATCCTTTGTCTCTCCACTGTGGGAACGCCAAAGGTTTTGACAGGCATCTTCTTCCAAGAAAATAGTATAGCTCAGCTGCTTTTTTTTTTTTCCTATCTTCAGCATTCCTAGAAACAGCCCAAATATTGGATTGCAAATTATTCCAGTTCCATTAAGTTTGTGACAGCTCAAAATTCTTGGACAGAACAATTTCTGTGAATAAGACAGGCCCCCATCAGAGTAGCCACACTTACTCCAATCACTGCAAAACTTCTGTGTCTTGGCTGGGCTGTTGTGTCAGAAACCAACAGGTAAAGAGCGAACCCACGGGGTGGGGAAAACCCCTTTGCCACACAGTTTCACTCTCGTACAGACTGACCTGTGGAAAATGCCCACTCACATTTCGACAACCATGTTGCAAATCCAAAGGGAAGTTCTCTCCCATAAGAAAAGCAGCCAAAAAAAAAAACCACCCCAAAGGCAACCAGCATGTAATAAGAATTTTATTGGATACATTTAGAAAAAACCTAGAGCATGAAGACATGAGATTAATTTCTGGATTTAAGTTTTATGAATGTGCAGAATTAAACAACCATGCAAAAAGACATCTCCCCCCTTCAACCGTAATTCATGACTCTTATAATGGCAAAATTATTTCCACCTTAAAACAGTGTTCCAGACACATAATTCATTACTTTAAAAAGGATCTCGTTCCTCAACAGAGATAAAAAAAAAAATTAGTAGCAATTGGAAAGACCAATGATTAACAGGTACAGTATTTAACCAACGCTCATGCCGTGTTTAAAGAATGCAAGCAAAAAATGCATTATTATGTAGAATAAGTAATTTTTTTCAAGGCAAAATTCCTATTAAAACTAGTCCCTAAACTACTGAAATGGTGACTTGATAATGTAGATGTTCCAGAAGATCATCCAATTAGAGAGGTTTTTTGTCAAGTTACATCAGTGCCGTGTAAAACATAAAGTCAGAGTAGCTGAACAGCCCAGTGCGTAACAGTATGTTAACATTAAAAATAAATTCCAACTCCCCCAAGAAATGTTGTTAAGAGATACAATACCTAAGGCTAGGTAGAAAAATGGGCATATACCTGAGGGAGAAGATTAATGTTTCTGTCACAAATTTGTATACCCATGCAAATTTTTGTATTAAAAAGAGATTGTGAAGGAAAAGTTTTATACACGCTGGGACAGTCAGTTCTGAGACATGTAACACGCTGTCTACATGTGACATGTAAACCCATACCGGAACATGCTACAGCTTTTAAAGACTCATTAATTATAAAAATATAGCTAGACTGTAGCAAGTTAACCAGCTTGTCAAATACAGCACAACTTCTGAAAACATGAAAAAAAGGTGAATTTAACTGCAAGTACATACTTGATCAAACATCGGTGCGTTGAAGTCGGTTCTGAGAAACTGCTCCAAACGCTCAAATTCAGTGACACGGCTTTTCCAGCTTGATGGTGGAAGCACATGTACGGTTACAAAAGGCTGCTAAAAATTAATGCAGTTAAACAAGACTTAACGGCAGTCTATACCATCTGAAAGGTTATCCTTTTATTTTGAAAAACATCATAGGCCACAGAAAACTAGGCTGTTATTTGTAAAACCTTCACTTTCTTGCCTCATCAAAGCTGAGGTTTTGTTTGTTTGCTTACTTTCTTAAACAGGTGAATTTTAAAAGTGGTTTTATTGTCACTGATGAGGAAAGTCATTATGGAACTCCTGAAGTATCTTTAATTTTCTGCTGAAAGTATGAACAACAGGAAAAGAGGAGGAACAAATAAAAAGCAGAACTGAGGACAATGTTCACAGGAGCTTTCTTCCACTTGTGACCAAGATGACTCAGCTACCAGCAGAAGGTACTTCAAAAGCACGTAACAAATCGTTACTGGGTCCCAAAGCCTGCAGCGCTAACAGCAGAAGGTCCTTTCATCCACACTTTTCTCCATTTAGCGTTCAGTATACTGAGGGAGCAGATGCTTTCCTTAAAACCAGAAATTTTGTACTCCCAAGAAATTCCATTTCCCTTGTAATTCTTTACAATGGATTTTACATGATGTAAACCTACTGCATGTGAGGATGCAAATAAATTGAAAATATGTGGAAAACAGAAGATATTTAGGATATGGATAGACACACGTTTGAACTTGCTTGTCAAATAACAACTTTATCCTGGCATTTAAACACCGCTCATTTTGCCATCCAAGTTCAGCGTTCTGCATACAAAAACCCAGATGGCACACTACTAACTACAGCTATCTAGAATTTTTCACCCACTGAAGTGATTGTTCTTAGTATTATGCTAAAAGCAGCTCCACTTGTTGGTTCAGAACACATCAGGGAACACCTGTTCAATTTTTAGAGAACCATTTGCAGGCATACATTTTTGTAAGCTTGTACCCTGTGACTTCAGCACCTGACATTTTCAAATGTATTAAAAAAACTCTAAAAATAAAAGGCAGCATTATTAGAAGTTAACAGAATCTTTTAGACAGAACTTAGAGCTGGAACTTTTAGTAGGGGCCCAAGGGAGTAAGCAACCACACTGCCTCCAAGTCAGTGAGGAAACAGGATCTTGAAGGTAAAGAAGCACCAACACAAATTTCATATATACAGTACTGGATGTATATATGGTGTTTGGGGATGGTTTCTTTGGTAATGTATTTCCTACTACTTTGAATATGAAGTAGGATTTCAAGTACTGCTAGAGATGGAACTCTGAGTTCAAATCAAATTATACCTGTTTGGAAACAGTAAGCTTTAACTTCTTTACTACGTTCTGCGTTTCTCTTGGCATTATTCAAGGATTGCCAAGGCAGGCAGATGAGCATCCACACATTTCAACAATCCACAGGACTGCTTGTTTACATGTATAAGTTTTGGCACAATAAATAATGGTGTACATTTTGCATGACTTACATACGAAAACATTGTTTTTCTTTCAGCTGCAACCCAAAGTTAAGAAACTATTTCAAGCAGAAAGATAAAGCAACATTAGTGAACGAGTTGCTGCTTGGACAAAGCGTCATCTTTAAAACTAGCCTGCTTTCAGCCACAAATCTTTACTGATGGAGAACTGGAGGTCTTGATTTCTAATCAGTGTTTTGCTTATGCTGTTCCAAGAGAAATAATATTTTTAAAATACTTTAATTCAAAGGTATAATTATGATTTGAGACAGACATTTTAAAGCTGCTTGTTTGTTTCTCCTAAGATTTGTCCTGTAGAGAAATTTAGTTCTTAGATTACCATCCTCAGAAACAAGAGCTCTGCGTATCTACATGGAAATAACTTTCCTGAGACACCTACAGTGTGCACTGTCTTCTCCGACTACACATATCCACCTACTTTGAAAAAAAGATTTGTAATTTTGAAAGTTGTAGAATAGGACAGAATATACATTCTAAAGACTGTCAAATATATACAGCACCCCTTGGTAATTTTACAACAGCCTGCTGTTTGTATATTCTCCACAGCTGAGGTGCGAAATTTTTCAGCCATTTCACTGTCCATTCACTTTTATATTTCACAATTCAAATACCAAAGATAAAGGAGTAAAAAAAAAAAAAAATCCTCTTATGCCAGCTTATTTTAACCTAATCTCCTGTTTTTATACATGAAAGACAGCAAAAGAATCAGCAAGTACTGAAATCCTTAGCAAAATACCTTTTATTCCATCCCTCCACAGCCAACAGGTATTGAAACAAACCTTAGTTTTCAGAAGACGAAAATGCAAGTCTACAAGTGTTCTTTCACATTTATGTTTATGTACCTTTTTGTTCTACATGTAGAATTGCATGTTAATCATTTTATAAACTCGGATTTTTTGTATCTGTTTTACAGTATGCTTCATAAGAAACAGTACTGAACTTAACACGTGCTACCCCGTAGATCCAGTCTAAACCGAACACCTGAAAAATTGACACACACAGTGGACTGAGAACACATCTATTGGGTGGTCAGTAGGTAAGGTGGTAAGCAAGGGGCAATAGCTCTTTTACTCTAAATCCCCATGGAGACACTCCAATTAGAATAAATACACTCATGGGAGCAAGAGCAGAAATAGCTATTACCCTTCAAGTTTACACCCCCATTTACTGTGCATCAAATTTCTCTGTAGAATGAACATAGCATAAAAAAATGAATCTATATATAAAAGTTAAATATTTGATTACAGTAGCAAGTCACCACTTCATAATGGGAAATAACTTGTCTCTTGGAATCATTATTGATCTGAATTTTCTTTTTTTTGTTGTGCGTTGGATACCGGTAATTCAAGACTTGCCCATAATAGGGGCTCTGCTTTTCTCATCGTAAGCTCAATCTTTGTAGCCGTCATGTTCACATAACTTCTCTTTACATCGATTACCTATGACAGAAAACATATTTCATACTTCAATTTAAGAAACAGACTGCTAGGTATTTGGGAATTAAGTTAGGAGGAGTAACTTATCACTACATTTCAGATGCTTAGGTAGACGCAGTTCCCTGTTATCTGGAAATATCAACCCTCTCCCATTCCCAAGCTAGGAACATATGTGCATACGTAACATATACATTGGTCTAACACAAACATAAGCATGCAATTACGCAGTGTCAAGCGTTTTCTGCACCACCACTATCATGGTGTTGGGATCTTAGGTCCAATTGGGACAAAAAGGACTTCAGGAGGTCACCTTCTGCTCAAAGTAGCATCAACTATGATGTCATACCTGATCACTTGGGGCATTAGATTCAGATTCTAATGCAGATTACTGAATGACATGCAACTCAATTTCTTTCAATAAGCAAAGTAACGAGGAAAAACAAACTGTTTTGAAAGAGAGGAATCTGAGGGTTTGTGTTTTGTTTTTAAAACAGAAAAATTATTCTTATACTTACTCCCCATAATTTCACACTGCGATGAAATTCCTTTTCTCCTTCAAATACAATATGGATATTTAACTTAACAGGAAAAACAACAGAAATTTTTGTCAGGCGAATAAAACATTTGACACCTCAAGTATGTTTAAGCAAAATATATCACATTAAGACTCAGATCCTACAATGAGCAAAATGATCAAATTGTCCCTTAGATACAGAAATGAAATCTACCCTAATAGATTCTGATACAGTATCATAGTCAATAGTGGCCATATATACACTCTGGAAGCTGTATCATTTTCTCCAAATGTGTGATTAAGAAATCAGAGAAGCATTTTAACACTTGTTTAATATTAGTAGCTGTGAAACTTCATACCATGAAGAACAATATTAAATTACATTAAGCCAAATACAATTAAATTATGAATCTATAATTATTTACACATATGGTGATGCAAATCCATCACACTTGGCTTTTAATTGTGGTAGTTAAATTAAATATTTTTTTTCACATATTATATTGCAGCTTTAAAAAAAAACAGCACATTAAAGTACAGATGTCCAAACAGAAGAGGAAAAAAAAAGCGCTGTACATAGTGAAGCAAATACAGAAGTCAAGCAAAAGCCGTTACTCAAAAAAGATTCTTATGCTACCTCTGCCTTGTAAATAAAGCAGAATCCAGATTTTCCTAAGTTCAACCTGCTGTAAGAAATAAAAGAAGAATTAAATCTTAAAGTAGATACTCACCATTGTGCTATTTGCTTCTACGTAGCTCAGATCAGGAACAGAGTTTTTAGCATATACAGAAATAGTTACTTCTCCTCCAGTCTGGTGCCAATCATGCCTGCATGGAACTACTTTCTTTC